TACGTGGAAGACAGCAGAGGTATCAGAGTAACAGTACGTGGAAGACACAAGTTGTAGCAATTTTGATGGATATCATTTATTACACCGATTTGGTACTATATTTTTACCGCTTGAGAATTTATAAAAATAATCAAAAATCATCAAAAATACGGCATTAAGACACCAAGACCTCGAGGGACACCATAGAAAAAGTCTGTGATTTAGTATCAAAACCTTTTGACTTTTGGCAACTTATGTAAGAATTGTCAATATACATAGGAAAGCCAAAACATCCTCCGAATGTCCTGAATGTCCTGAATGTCCTGAATGCTCTGAGGGTCTCTAGTTTGTGCTCGGTAAGTTTCATGAGGCTGAGGTCACAACAAGTTTCATTTTTATACAGTGACTTCAAGTTTCAAAGTGAGTGGCCTCACTATGTGAAATGGCTACTATGGGGACTAACGTCATCACATATTAATACAATTGGGCTCATTGGATCAACAACAGTCTCAGATTTCTGGTCATACCCAATTAATGCAATTACAATAGGTGAAAATGATACATTCTGCATGCAAACAACTGCTTGGTTTTGCTCCAAGCTGCATGGGATTATCATAAAGTCTGCAGCAGGAAGACTCGTGGATATCCACCTTGTTCATTCACGTATCTTGAGGTGAGAAGTCAAGGGACCCCTGCAAAGATCGCCTTGCCAAAATTGACCTTGTTCGTAGTGTTATTTAGCCTCCTTCCCAACAAGCATGACATGGTCGGTACTATTGGATTCACCAGGTCGTCTAGTTTCATACAGTATGAAAAGCGTAACATCGAGCTTCAAGTGAGCAGCATGTCGGCAGGGCTTCAATTAAACGTTGTGTAATAGTGATACTCTTCATCCTCAGATGTTAAAAGGAGATATACGTTTCTATAAACGCCTGTATAGCTAACATTATCAGACGACATTAGCACATCACTAACTAGCATTAGCACGTCTATGCTACGCTAGCTACTGAAGGTATCCTGAATATCTACACGCTGTTTTTGCTTTTATTGATCGTTAATAAAGATCTGCCCGGCTTTACAGGAACAGTGTTGCCCCTTCATTTCATTGTCTTTAAGCTTCTATCTTTATCGTTTTAACCTGTTTTTGCTGCTGAATCAGTTTGACACCATAGACACATTGTAGACCTTTCTGTCTGCTTCTCTCTGAAATAGCTTTTTGGTTTTTGCATATTAGATTATATGAATTCAGGGAGTGCTTTGGTGGCAGCGTGGGCTCCATGGTAGCTCTGACAGCTTGACCTTGAACATACATATCACCGTGGGAGTGTGGACTGGAGACAGACGTGAAACAATCTGAACGGGTCTTTTAATGCACAGACAAGACTGTTATCAATCTTCACATTTAACTTAACTTTAAGAAAGCAAAAAAGCGTATTTCTTTAATTGTGAACTGTTCCTTTAAGCCACATTGGCTGTTAACCATCTGCAACTTGAATGTTTATTTTTTCCCAAACCTTAGGGTGGTAAAAGTAAAAGCAGAGGGTACATTTAGTGGAGTCCTAGCTCATATCAGGGATCAAGATTCATGAAACTGTGCCCTTCAACATCCTGTGTGTGTGTGTGTGTGTGTGTGACGTGTTGTCTGCCTGTGTCACTGAGTGGGTTTCTGTCTGTTGAGCTTATCATTTCGGATGACACCTGCCACCTCCAGCTGAGACTTAAGGGCACTCCATGCTATGTATTAGACGGATTTAGGTCTGACCTGTAGTAGTCCGCTGCAGAGAGAGAGCCATCAAGAACACAACCAGTCGAGTGAAGAAAACTAGTTCTTTATTGTTCATTCCCAAAGAAACAAGGAAACATTTGGAGATGTTTTTTTCTTTACAAAATCAAGTGGCTGGCAAAAAGACAAACAACAAATAAGGCACACAAAGGTTCAAGTACTCGGCCTCACTGACACGGAATAAATTAACACATGTGGCCTTGTTCTAAAGAAGGCATTATGAGTAAGTGAATAATGGATGAATATGTTTACAATATGACATTAGATGGCATTACAAGGTGTTTGTATTTGGTGGATTTTACATTTGCAGGATAAAATCTAAAATGTCTACCGTGAGCTCTTTGTGTCTTAGTGTTCAGATTTTCATCGATAGGATCTTTAATGATAACACGATCATATAGTGGAAGTAATTGTCACTATAAACATGTTACTTAAAGTTATCAACATCGCACTGCAAAACATATCCATATGAGGTTTGACAAGAAGTTTACATTCATAATATCTCAGATCACCACAGAGAACAGACGTCACCGGTCTGATACAGAAACACACCTTTGTGCCTTCATTTCATAACATCAGAAACCGCCACAAAACCAACAGGAATAACTTAAATGACAAATAAGTCGTCTCTTAATTAAAATACATTAACATGATCCCACAATCTCTTTGGTTTAAGGCAAAGAAGACACTGAAGCAGCAACTTCCACTGAGAGGAGACGGAGTGGTCTTGGTTTGAGCTCCTTCCACACACACAGCATCACATCTGACACACTCATTGAACAGACAGAGGGAGAGTTCAATGGTTTGTGTTTAACACAAACCATTGAACTGCTCACACTGTTGACGAGGTCAATAGTGTGAGCACAGGAAGCTTTAGTGTTCCCATGAAGCTTGAACTCACTTCACATAAATCCCAAACAAACTTACTCGATCCATGCAGACAATCTGTCCAGGTGGAGATTTCAGCCTCCACCCCAATCTATTCAATAGAAATGTGACATTTTCAAAGAATTATTATATGACTTTTAAAGATTCCTACACATGACAGAAACTGTCTTTCTAAATAATCCACAGAACAAGCCGTCAACAGTTGAACTACTTTCCTTGGTAGAAACAGATCATCTAGAATAACAGGACACGACTGTATTTGTGGAAAGATGCTGCTGTTGAATGTCGTCAGCACCACACACTGAACTTAACTTCACCCATCATTGGTGTAGTGGGCGGAGCTAGAGATCGTCTGACTCCACAGATACAAAGTATGAGAGATTGTTCATAATTTAGGTGAACTGGCTTTAAAGGTGCACTGTGGACCCAAATGCATTGTGTATCCTAGAGCACAGATAAAACTGTTGAATGCATCTACTTCTTTATAGAATGTTTGCAAAGCTGATTTTAGATTAATATTTCCTTTACTCCACGCTGGGCTCCGTGTGTGAAAGGGCTTGAAGCTTTAATCATCTCACAGCTACTGAATATTCATTGGTGAGCGTTCTGTGCATCTTAAGTCAGTGTTTGGCAACATGGATACGTGGATAGAAGGTAACAAACAAAGGAATGTATTGATTTAAGAACAAAGAGCTTTACTTCTGTAAGTTGACTTCAACACCTGCACACCTAACAGCTTGATCGACTGTATTTATTCTCAAGCTGCCAATGAGCACGTCATGATTCAAACGTCTACATCCAGACTAGATGCCACCACGGGCCCACTGCAGGGTTAGGGTTGGGCATGAAATAACAAATGGTATAGTTTAAGATGTTAGGTTAAAACTTAACTGTTGTGTTCCAGATGTTCTGTTAGGTCCATGTTGGGTGGGCTCATAAGGAGAAGAATAGGAAGTTAGCTACATTAGGATCCAGAAGGACACAGTCATGGAAGTTGCTGTTTCAAAGACAGCTATCCAAAATAAATAGCTTGAGTCACTTCTACTTCTAATATACACATCAAAGTAAGGCTCGTTTCATGTATCTGCCAATCTCAGGCAGTGTGTTCAAGCTCTAGTCTGCCACAGGAAGAGGAGGGAAGAGTTGAGTAGCGAGCAAATCCTGGATGTGAAGATGAATCCTCCAGACAGATTTCTGCTGCAGGTCTTTCTGGTTCACCAGCCACAACTTCAGCTTCAGCTCCTCCTCAGGGACGCTAGTACAGTGAGCTACTTCAGCTGCCACAGCACTGTGTATATTATCATGGGCCTGTGTGTGTGTGTGTGTGTGTGTGTGTGTGTGTGTGTGTGTGTGTGTGTGTGTGTGTGCGTGTGTGTGTGTGCTCCTACGTGGAGGCAGTTCAATCAAAGTGCTCAGTGCTCCTTCAACCTGTGAAGTAGAAACAACATTAACACCATATTGATGAGTTGGGTGTCATTAAGTTTTACAGTCTGGAGCAATAAACTTTATGCAGACTGAACCTGTGGTCAATGAAGGAACAATGTTCTTTCCCCGTTTTATTAAGTATATTCATCAAACGATTTACTGTCATCATTTTGTGTTCTGGCTTTAGAACGTTGGTTCATCTGATGAGCTTTTTGAAAATAAATGATCATCTGCATTCAACAGTGATAAAGGACGGAGCGCAGAAGAAGGGCTCTTTATCCTTTTTCAATAATAAAGTATTGTTAACCTCCATATCCAAGAGTGGAGGTCCCAATAGATCTCAACATTGTAAATAAAGCTGAATGCCATCCAGTCCTTAAGAACACAAACCTTAAGATGAATCCTTAAGCTTTATTTCATTTCATATTATGACTGGGATGGCTATTATATTATAATTATTACATTACACGATATTACATTATAATATTGATTCCATCTATTTTCATGCACAGAAAATGATGCATTTCTGTTCATTATTGAGATCTGCCTTTACTTCATTTAGTAATGTTTCTAGTTCATAGATTTAATTTAAGTGTCCCTTGTTCATCTCAGGCAGTCATTTTTTTAAATTAAAAGTATTAAGGATGCACCAATACTGACTCAATTAGCTGGAGAATAAAAATACAATGTTTAAGTCAAGCCTTCCACATAAAGAATGATCTCTTACACACAGTGAGGCATACAGCTCATTTTTTAAACTCTGGTATCCGATTGGTTCTTGGTATATATTACTAATACTACTTTATCTATACAATATTAAGAAAGATTGAATCGCCATCTAGTGGCACTCAATATTATCCCTCTAAAATTGAATTGGCATATACAGTGTAGCCACAAGGACAAGGACATCCAAACTGGTATGCATGTCTGTTCCAGACAATTCTGCTAGCAACAAATGTAAAGTAATATAATGTATGTATGTCTGCAAGTATGTATGCATGCAAGTATGTGTGCATGCATACATGCATGCAAGTATGCATGCATGCATGCATGCATAAATACATACATACTTCTATGTATGTATGCAAGTATGTATGTATGTATGTATGCAAGCATGTATGTATGCATGCAAGCATGTATGCATGCAAGTATGTATGTATGCAAGCATGTATGTATGCAAGTATGTATGTATGCAAGCATGTATGTATGTATGCAAGCAAGTACGCAAGTATGTACTGTATGTATGTATGCATGTATGTATGCAAGTATGTATGCATGTATGTATGCAAGTATGTATGCATGTATGTATGCAAGTATGTATGTATGCAAGTATGAATGTATGCATGTATGTATGTATGTATGCAAGTATGTATGTGTGTATGTATGTATGTATGTATGCAAGTATGTATGTATGCAAGTATGAATGTATGCATGTGTGCATGCAAGTATGTATGTGTGTATGTATGTATGTGTGTATGTATGTATGTATGCATGTATGTATGCAAGCATGTATGTATGCATGCATGCATGTATGTATGCAAGCATGTATGTATGCAAGCATGTATGTATGTATGCAAGTATGTATGTATGCAAGCAAGCATGTATGCATGCAAGCATGTATGTATGTATGCATGTATGCATGCATGTATGTGTGCAAGTATGCATGCATGTATGTGTGCAAATATGCAAGTATGTATGCAAGTATGCAAGTATGTATGCAAGTATGTATGTATGTATGCAAGTATGTATATATGTATGCAAGCAAGCATGTATGCATGCAAGCATGTATGTATGCAAGCAAGCATGTATGCATGCAAGCATGTATGTATGTATGCATGCATGCATGTATGTATGCAAGTATGTATATATGTATGCAAGTATGTATGTATGTGTGCAAGTATGCAAGTATGTATGCAAGTATGTATGTATGTATGCAAGTATGTATATATGTATGCAAGTATGTATGTATGTGTGCAAGTATGCAAGTATGTATGCAAGCATGCAAGTATGTATGCAAGTATGCATGTATTTATGTATGCATGCAAGTATGTATGCATGCAAGTATGTATGTATGCATTTTTTTTTTGTTCTGTTTGTCTTTGCCCTGTAAAGCATCTTTGGGTATTTTGAAAAGCGCTATAGAAAATTGATGTGTTATTATTATTATGTATGCATGTAAGTATGTATGTATGCATGCATGTATGTATGTTTGTATGCATGCATGCATTATTCACAGAGGTGGCACCAAAGAGAACAGAACGCAGATCTGCAAGATTGTAACTTCAACTACGGAATTTCCAAGTGCCCCCATCCCATCCCACTTGTCTCGCCAGTCCTCCAAGTGTCTTGCAGGGATGCTACTACTACTACCACTACTAATACAAATAATAATAATGATAGAAAACAAGAATTTACAGAATAAGCACTGCAAGAACATATTGTAATGTATTCTGCAAAAAGTAAATAAACACTTAACTGGTACACTTTTCAATGTACTGTATGTGTTCATAGTGTAAAGGAAATTCCTCCGATCATGCACTGTGTGATCATGGTAACTTCCCTTATGTTTGATCATACTGAATCTGATCATGTAAGCTTTGACTGAATGAACCCTGGCCTGATAGTCTAAACTAAGGCATTGTTGCACACCTGGATGTCATCAGATGATGATGAGAAGGCTTTTGAACAAAGATTTGCAATATACTAACTGAAGGAAACATCCAGAGGGGGCTGACCAAGCCACGGTATATTTCTACCTAACCTTTGTCCTGTGTACCGTTAATGCTCGCAGCATTACAAGTGTGACAATACTGTAAGACCTTTTTGTCTCGTTCCTCATTGTCAGAGCGGGATTACAATGTTGCCACGACATTAGTTATAGTTGCTTTTAAATGTAAAGTGGAGAAAACCATTTTGACACCACAGCTCAACATTTGAATACAAAAGCAAAATGATTCACAATCTTTGAGAAATAAAGAGTAAAGGAATGAAAGGAAAGCGAGAACATTTAATAGAAACAGGACATTGAGTAACATGATGAACAGGAGAAAAGCAGGACTTACTCTACAGCGGAGATGGGACGGGATTTGTTGGAGGTCAGCTCCTGCGTCACGAGCCGTAGCAAAAGCTGCACACACAGTCAATTAGTGGTTCATTTATTTATTTTACTACAGCTTGTCTTAAGGTTACATATACAATTCCAACCTGGGTACTATCCTGCATGTTATATATATATACATATATATGCATATACATACATACATCTCTCTCTCTCTCTCTCTCTCTCTCTCTCTCTCTCTCTCTCTCTCTAATAAAGCAGAAATGGCAAAAAATATCTTTAAAAGATAAGTACCTCCACTTAAAAACTATTGAAGTTTACTTGTACTGCATATTATTATTCTATATTATTTGGTTACTTTAGACTATCGGGGGAGACTATGGGGGGGGGGATCAACGACATCAAAGGAGTCTCAAAAAAGTGCAGTGAAGTTCACACATGACCAGCAGTTTGTAAATGCAGGATCAACAGCTTGTATATAAATGCAACAACATCAAATATGTTTTCTACCACATTCATTCATAACCAGAAATATTTGTGTGTCCATCAGAAATATTATTATGAATCCATTAGAATATGTGGATTTTGTTTATATTTATATATAATAACTTCTTTGTGTGCATTGAAAAATATTTTTATGGGGAGTCATTTATATCTAAATCCCCAAATCCATCTGTGAGCAATATTGAGACTGATCTGACCTCATACTGGTGAATGAGCCCCATTATTTAGTTGACCTTTAAGGACAACTCAATGAAACGTATCTACTTCCTCTACTTCTATTGGTGATGATACTTTGTTGTTCATGCTTTTTAAAGCACTCACCAACAGAGCAAGGAAGTCAGCGATCATCAGCATGTAGAAGACCTGATCCCAGCCGCCTGGAGACAGCAGCCCAGCCAGCAGGGGGCCCAGTGCTGCACCTGACATCACAAACATAGGCGGGATCATTTATCTCAACAACTGACAAATATATATCTCGGACATGGTGAATACACTGATGTGAGAAAGAACAGAAGACATGCCAGTATGAGCGCCACTAGGCAAATCATTATTTCATTTTTATTTCCCAATACTCAATCCCACATACACTGTTGCTTTAAATACTCACTAGCGCACCAGATATGTATTAATCTGCCACTGAAAACAGTCCCCAACAAATGCACTATTTCCTCCTGCGTGAGTTGCATTTACTAAAAGCTACAGTGACCAGCTGTTTGGTTGCTGTTTAGAAATATTCTAAAGAACACTGGCCTAATCGGTTAATTAGTTCAATGTTTGACATTCGGTAGGTTTGCATTACAGAAGGTCAGATAGTGTCCCGAAACTAAAATGGTGCTTGCTGGGGTCTTTTCCTATAGTGTATGTCTCAGTACAGAAACCTAATTGTCAGTTGATCGGTGGTACTGACCTACAGATCCTGTGCCATCGATGATGGCAGTGACAGTAGACAATGCTCTGGCATTGCCTTTCAGGCTCTTGTGGGTCCCCTAGGGTCAAAGGTCAAAAGAGAGAGGGAATGAGAGAGGGGGCCTGTGCAGATTTAGTAAATAATCATGTACAAGTTCAGAAGACAGGAGTCGGAGGTAGAGATGCTTACCAAATCAGCAGATACTGCAGTCGTGATGAGGGAGTACGGTCCATTGACTAGACCTCCACACACCAACAGCATGCCTGAGAAAACAGACTGGGTACGTTATGGAGTTTCTACAGCCACCCACAAGGCTTATCTCCGTTCTTCAGTTCATTCCCTTCCATAAAGCAAATTCAATGTAGTTGAAGCTCGGTTACTATAGCAACTTATGCTAGGAAATTAACCTGGTCTGTCGGGCTAATGTCGGGCCGGTGTCGGGCCAGTGTCGGGCCGGTGTCGGGCCGGTGTCGGGCTAATGTCGGGCCGGTGTCGGGCCGGTGTCGGGCCGGTGTCGGGCTAATGTCGGGCCGGTGTCGGGCTAGTGTCGGGCCGGTGTCGGGCTAATGTCGGGCCAGTGTCGGGCTAATGTCGGGCCAGTGTCGGGCTAGTGTCGGGCTAGTGTCGGGCTAAGCCTGAGTTGTTGCTCAACCAGAGTTCCTGTAACTCTGACTGGACAGGAAAGTGATAATTTTACCTCAGACTTTCTGGACTGATGCCATATGATTTGACTTTATTGACCACTATTAGACTTGAATAAATAATAAACAAAGTCTATAGCCACAGTTTCATGATCAACCGAAAATATATTTTAACACTTCTCGACGGATGGGCTAGCTGGCTGGCTCTCTGTCTCATTTACCATGCTTTGTGAGTGCTTTTTGCCGTATCATCACCATTCACATCTATACAACTAATGTGTTTATTTACAAGAGGGTGGAGCTTGAGAGGAGTGAGGCCATTTAGCAGCTAGCACTAGCTAGCGGAAATCAGGCTTAAAACCAAATATGCCTAGTGGAAAAAATGTACTGCCAAATCCATAGATTGGCTTTTAGCATAACCGAACGCTGAACATCGCCGTGGTACCGACCGACATGTCACTCAAAACAGGCACAGCCTCAATTTTGTGATATAATTCTTACAGATATGTAAGACTTTTTCCAGCCCAAGTAGGCTCCAATGTTCTGTCGTCAGCCATTACCTTTTCTCTTTTTAACACCATATGCAAGTTTCTTGTAATAACAACAAATCAACTTATATTGTTATGACAAGAAATTTGAATGACTAATGTTATTTTTGTGAAATACAGAGAAGGTTTTGTGACATAACAAGATTAATTTCCATGTTGTTATAACACAAAACTAACACTTAATACAAATGTAAATAAATTGGTTTGGCATTGACTAGGTATGCTACTAAATGATATTTAATGTTTGTTTACTCAACAATTGATGAATCATTTATTGTATAAAACTAAACAAATATTAACTTTAAATGTTGCTGGTCAGTGGACCACAGCACCCAAAGCTATTTATTACATAATGACATAACATGAAGATCTATCGAGTTTTCTTCAAACTAAACAATCTGAAACCAGAAAATCAACAATTCTTCACTTCTCAAAACTACCACTGAATATATATATCTATATATATAATATATATATCATCTAAGCACTTAGCACTAGCCTCTGAGTGGGCTGAGGAGTGTGAGCTGCTCTTACCGATGGTTGGCCCCAAACCAAGCTCACTGATCATGGAGAAGCCGTACAGCTGCAGGACGAAGAGAAAGCACCACCGTCAAAACACTAACATTCTCAGTCACTATTCATAATTCACATGTCAGCAGCATGATCATACATTCAGCTCACGTGAACAGAGGATATCTCAGTCTCATTTGTCAACACTGTTCTGTAGCTACTTTGAGTTATCAGAAACTTTAAAAAAATGTCAATAACTACTGTATGTCTTCTTCATGTATATCATAAACAGAAGACACTGTGTAGTCTGTCTACTGCTCCACTGCTAACAAAGACACACATGTAGCTCCAGTGAAAGATGTTTGCTCTAAGTGCTACACAGCAGACAGAGGCCTGGTGAGGCAGCTCAGGTCAGTTCCAAACACGGTCTGTATGCTCCTGCTTAAAGCTGACCTGTTGATCAGTCACTTCTACGCCTGGACGTGTCCATCATTGACACAGAATCAACTTCCTTTCAGCAGTAAACACATGTCTTATTTCCTGATCTAACATTGTTAGCTTGATGTATGGACTGTGGATGAGTGTAGCAGCAGCGCAGTGGGAACTCACTGTAGGAGCAGCAAGCAGCAACATGATTGCACAGGTGGTGGCTCTCTTCCCCAGTCTATCAGAGATCACTCCTGCCAAGATCCCCCCTGTGATGCATGCACAAACACACACATGATGGAGAGAGGCGATGAGCCGGTGAAACATCTTTCATACTAACAATGAAGCACAAAACTATGTAAAAATACTGACAGTAAGAGAATTTGGGAAGAAAAAACACATGCATGCACATAAGAGGAAAAGGTTAACAAAAGCACCTACCGACTATGCCTCCCACGTCAAACAGGGTGGAGAGATCTCCAGCCTTCTTGGCATCAAGGTGAGCTGAGGGAGCGTGACACACACACACACACACACACACACACACACACACACAC